AATTATCTAACTTCCAATTTTTTTTCATTGTCTTGCTAACACTTACAAACATCCCAACTCAACCTTTATTCTTCTTTTGAAGAGTCACAACTATTCAAATAATTATCTTACCACTTCAAAAAGAATTCTCTCTACTGATCTTCCAGAGGAGTTTTGTTTGGTTTTTCAAAATTTCACAAAGTTAATTTGAGATTTTCTATTAGACCAAGCTATGATTGGCGCCGAAACGAGTGATAGAGTGTCCTACTTATAAAAGGGTAAGTTTTATGCAATTTCTTATACTTTTCTGTACATGAGATCTGAAGGTTAATAAGTTGATGAATATAATTAAGTTCAGAGAAATAATACTATATTCTGATTTGAAAATAGGAATAATTTACATAAGGATACTTCGAGTCCATTACTCAAATGGTCACTCAACTATCCAAAATTATCATCTAAAGTCACTTTTCTTTCGTTTGTAACAACAAGGTCACTGAACTATGTCTATTGCGCTCAGAAGGTCACTCAACTAGATTTTCCAAATTTTGGATTGCTAAATACCTATTTTACCCTCTAAATTATAAACATTTATCTTCTTTTTATTTATTTTTTTAAAAAAATTTAATATTATAATTTTTCCCCTTCTAATTTACATTATGGACTTACCTATAAAATAAATAAATATTATTTATAAATTAAAAAATAAAAAGTAAAGCATATATAATGCTGGAATAACAAAATAATGAGTATAATAAAAAAATTAGTTAGAATAATTTGTTAGTAATAATAATTTTAGTATTAACAACAAAAATTCAAAAATTTATTTACACAATTCAGAATGAAAGAAAATGAGGTAGGGATAAGGGTACACACTAACCTCCCCGGACCCCATTTATGGGATCAAACTAGGTTTTTTGTTGTTGTAAAATGAAAGAAAATAAAGGTTGTAATATATTGTCTATGCACGCAATATAAAAATAATTATTTAAATAAAGCTATTTTTATAATATACATCATATATTCTTGAAAATTTAGCTCAATTATATTATTATGTTTCTACCAACTTTCCAGGATGAGAGGATTATGGGTATGGGATGGGATGATTACCCTATACTTGTGACACCGGATTTTGGGATGATTATGGATTGCTCAGCACTGAACTGGTTAAAATATTATTATTTACTCTAAATTTCCATCTTTTTATTATTAATTCGAAGGAAATTATGAATTTCAAAGATACTAAAATGAGAATCAAATTTATTTTTTATTGTTGGCTTGCCTGACAGTGGTGTCTGGCGCCATCACGATCCTTAATAAATTTTGAATCGTGACAGATAGTCCCTCTGCTTTCTGGCGATATAACTTTGTGTCGTCGGAAAGTTGGTAGAAACATAATAATATAATTGAGCATAATTTTTAAGAATATATAATGTATATTATAAAATACTTTTATTTAAATAATTATTTTTATATTATGTGCATGGAATATATATTTTACACCCTTTATTTTCTTTCATTCTGAATTGGGTAAATAATTTTTTGAATTTTTTTTTGTTAATACTAAAAAGTTAAAAAAAAAAGATAAATATTTATAATTTAGAGGGTAAAACNCGATTGTATACGATTTAATACAACGAACCGTTTGAAAACTTCTACTAACAAGTAACAACACCATTGCAAAAAACTTGACAATAATATTTCTATTTCAAATTTTTTCTAACGTTTCTGTATTTTTGGTAGAGGCGAAAATTTTAGTAACTGACAATATATATCTTTGGTAACTCTTTAGGAATTTATGAATTATTTTTGTACGTAATTACGTACTTGATACTTATCATTAATTTTAATCTCATGCTTTTTAGATGTAGTTTGCATGTTAGAATCAGTAAATCACTTATTGGAGAAGAACCAAGCAGGAGAAAAGACATAATAGTGACACATAAAATATAAGTTAAAATTACACAATTTTACAAGAAAAAATTGTTCAAATTATATTTTAAATACATTGGTATGATTATACAAATGTACGTAATTTTATAGGGAGGTTTAGTAAATTTGACAGTGAATTTTTTTAAACAATGATAAAACAATCAGAGGCTATTGTGATGTTAGAATCTCAATTCATAAAGATATCATGCCAATATATGTGTGTGAGGATATCCAATCATCTTGACCTCGATAAATAATTAAGCCACCATACGATGATACACATTGATTATTCGTAAAATTCTTACTTATAATTTATTCTTTCATCCACAATTATCAGTCAAAGCTTTGGTTTAATATACTTGAAATTATTTTACAATATTGTAGATTACATGACTCGGCATACACGTGCAATGCACGTACCGGGAGACTAGTGTGTGTGTATATATATATATATATATATTAGCCAAGAGACATAATTTAATTTTTCTATTCCAAATAGAAAACTTCAATTTGTTAACAATATTAATATATCCTCTGTGCTAGCAAAAAATATAATAATATTTCATTTGGACTAATAACTAAATTTATTTGACTAATTAAATTTTATAATTTAATTACCAAACAATAGAATAATTAATCCTTTAGCAAAGACCAGAACACTCGTTAGTGTGCGACCCTATAGGTTCAATACTAAATCGGTAGTAAAATGATCACATCAATATACTAATCAAGGGTGACGTCTAGCAACACTCCTCAACGACCGGATAACATGAAGTATACAATTTACTCTCAAGAACCAGTAGAAGAATAAAGTAATATTTCCTTCCATCCTTATAGCTCTGAGTCACCCTAGGATATGGTTCAACTGTCAAATCCTAATAGGCGATCAACTATGTGTTCATGTCAAATATAATCCACCATCGAATGACCTAAGAAACTCATTTCTTCTTTCATTCAATTGCCCTGGCCAAGGTCTTAATTTGGTCGTTTATAATTCATGACAACATGGAGCTTAAACTCATCATTACCAAGAGTTGACAGATTTCATCTTGATCAATCACTAATTCTACAAGCATTTAATCATGCCCAATATTCTTTCAACTATCGCCCTAGGGCCATATGTGTCTGGTATCAAAACACAATAAATAACTTGTCAATTACTATGACGATCTCAGGTCAAAGAAAACTTTTACATCACATTCTTCAAGAGAATATCCTATTGACAGTTTATGGTAATTCTAACCATTAGAAATTATCCAATGAGTCGGTTCAATGATCATATCTCTATATGCATCATCTATCTATGTAATTTAGTTAATGAGATCAACTAATCTTTATCCCATAAAGACGATCACATAAATATTGATCTGACCGGATTACTAATATCCAAATTAATAATCCTACGATCAAGAACAAATTTAGATTAAATTATAAGAAACTTTACTCTCATTATCATGATCTCCATCACAATGTCAAGTCTCAAAATTTAATCAAGGACCTTATCAAATTAATCAAACAATATAACAATGATAGAAGAATATCAAATGCCATACATATTTTATATCAAATAATGTTCATAAAAATATGTTTAAATCATCAAATATGATATTGGATTTAGGGTATATCTACTATATCCCTAACAGTTGATTCCAGCTCTATATGGAACATGTTACTTGGTAATTCTCCTCCAATATCGCTTCATACAATGAACTTCATAATTAGAGAGGGCACATTTATAAGCTATGAAATAGTTTATTTTCAATATTACAAAATTATCGAAAATAATGTTAGGTAATAAGAGAATTGTCCCAGTAGAAAGGAGAATGAAGTATTATTTTCATTACCAAAACTTGAAAAGAAGTAAATGCGAAAGCAACTCTCTCGAAAGTCAATTTCTTCTTCATTATAGTAAGACTAGTTTAAAAAACTTTCATCTGAACTGCCAAAGCTCGGCATAAAGTCGCACGTCTTCTGACTTTCTGACTTGTTCAAACCAATTATTTTCGTTTAGTATGTTCTTTTGTTTAATTAATACTTTAGTTTTTATTAAACTAATCTACCATATGGGATTTGTAAATATCCATAATTATGGTCATAAGTTGACTTGTAAGTTGTAACATGGAGGTGCTATTTGGTGGTTGTTTTATCTATATGATACATAGTAAATTATAATATGAAGCTTCCTACCAATTAACGATGTCCCCTCTTGCCCTAGGCACCCACTATTCATTAATTCATTGAATAAATTGCTTCTTCTAATTAATGACATGTATGTCTAAAAGTTTGAATAAGTAACGTCTAAATTTAAAATGGGTGGTAATTAATAATGGAAGTCGGTATATAAAATGCTTCAAGTCAATTGTTAGACTAGACGAGATTAAAATAGACTATGAATATTTTTAAATAGCACGATGATGAACGTGTTAATTAAAGAACTCATAGTCAATAAAGTGGAATAAAAATTATATAAGTCTAGGATTCAAATTGAGCAGAGACAAAAAAAAAATAATTACTACTAGTATGTGATTTTTTCTTATTTGCCGAAGCTTTAATATCTTGTGATGGTAGAAGGTAACCCCCTAAAATAGCCGAGACGAGCAAACTATTTCCCTATAAAGAAAAAAGAACGTGTTGACTTTCATAGCCACTTTTGACAGAAGGATTAGTTTTATCGCGCCTCTAAAAGAGTTCTTTTAAATAAAAGGCCCATTTTGCAAAAAATCGATAAAAATAACCTATGAGATTAATAATTAAAACGAGATATTATTGTAGGCAATCTTGAAAGTTATATAAATTTGAAAAAGAAAAAAGAAAACTGCATACTAATAACAAACAAAAAAAGGTATTGTCTTAACATTCATATAAAATTTAAAATCGTAAAGAAAAAAAATAAGGTGCTTTTGTTAAAAAAATATTTTAATATAAAATGAGAAAAAGTTACATCTTGAGAATTTCGTGGGACTTCACTAGCAGAATTATTAATCCATCTCCTCTATTTTGCTAATAAAGTCTCTCCACCCTTTAAATAGAAATTAAAAAAAAATGACTTACCTAAAAATATGCCTATCCTTTCCAATAGCTTTCATGGTTTATAAATAGTGACCAAAAACTAGTCTACCATTTTTCTTTATCGAAGGAACGAAAGAAGAAATTCTCCCTAACTCGTTCCTTCTCAATTCCTAAATTAAGTCTCTCTCCTCCGTCCACGACGGTGCACCACCATGGTTTTGTCCAAGGCCGCCTCGGATAACGATGTTTCCGTTCATTCCACCTTCGCTTCTCGCTATGTCCGAGTTTCTCTTCCCCGGTAAATTTTATTATATTGTTCGCTTTATTTCACATAATATCTAGGGGCGGAATAGGCGAAGGTGATCTGTTAAACATTTTTCATCGAAAAATTATTCTCTATATATATGTTAGATATTATTTTTTATATATATACATTAAATCTTGAATACCTACGAACATTCTTAGCAAAATTTCTGACTTAGAAACAATAATATTACGTATATCTTGCTTTACATTTTAATTATATTATGACTATTTATACATTAACAGATCAATTTAGCATGCCACAACCATGGGCATAAGCACCTTATCTTAAGTGGTGTCACTGTTTTGTCAAAATTTTCATAAATATATATGTATAGATACTAAGAGAATAAAAATATTGGGTATAAATATAAAAAATAATGTTGCTTGCCATTATAATGATTTATTTATTTATTCACTTCTTCAGATATCAACTTACAAAAAATCGTGCATACACCACTGGCCATAACTTCTCTTTTATCTGCACTTAAAAATAGGTTATGCAATTAATTCCCATCTAAACCAAGTTGATTGATTGATCCTTTTTGCTTTTCTAGATTTTTCTTGGATTTTCTTTAGTTTGTTGATTAAAACTAGATTTTTTTCTTTTTATTTTTGCGGTTTTTAGGTTTCAGATGCCGGAGAATTCAATACCAAAGGAAGCAGCATATCAAATAATAAACGATGAATTAATGTTGGATGGAAACCCAAGGCTGAATTTGGCGTCGTTTGTGACGACGTGGATGGAACCAGAGTGCGATAAGCTAATCATGGCTGCCATTAACAAGAACTATGTTGACATGGATGAATACCCGGTCACCACTGAGCTTCAGGCAAGTTTTAATACATGATCTCGATGCATTAAGCTCCCGTTATTTGTATAACCCGAAAAAGATTATATTTTTGCAAGAGGTCATTTTCACGACTAAAAATAATCTTTTGTAAATAAACTTTATTCAATAAAAAAATAATATAATATCACAGAAGATCGGTATATAAAACACAGAAGATCATGAGATCATGTCCTCTATAAATGTACGCCTAGTTACTTGCATATATTTAATTGATTTCAAGATTACTTAATTAATCTTAGGAAACAGGTAGGTAGCTCGTTCACACCAGGCTTGAATATAACGTTCCTCGAGATCAAGCTTATTATAATGTTTTCAATACCAAAACTGAAGAAAAAAAACGTTACAATATAATAGAGTGACTCTAAATACTGGTGCTATCTATTTTATGGTTAATTATACACAAGATCACTGACCACCTATAGTACATAATTTGCCGGAAAGTTATTAAACTAATTTTTTCTAACCACAAAATCACGCGCTTTTGCTAATAACAAGATGAAGGCTTGGTCAGAAATCATCATTTTTCATTTTTAAAAAATGGATATTTAGAAAAAGTTAACCAACTTTCAACTTTGTGGTTAGAAAAATTAGTAGTTTGATTATTCTAATGCAATTATTGTAGGAATATATATCACAGCGGAAGCAATAACAGAATCTTATTCACGTGTAATCTAAACAACAAGCACGTATGAAGATTTTAGGATTACCTCTTGAAGCGTAAACACAACAAATCTATGTCGTTCTCCAGTTCCTCAGTTGAAAACACACCAGCAGATTTCCACAGTCTTCTACTGTGTTACCCAAACAATAACCGAAAATGGAGAATTTTGGATGGGCAAAATTCTAGTAGAAACCGCAGTCAGAATCTTGTCAAAAACGTCCAGCCCTTATATCCATATATATAGTTGCGTTTTAGGTCAAAACCGTTTTCAAAACCTGTT